AATTTATATATATATATATATTTATATATATTTTATGAGTTTAACTTTGATTTTTAAATTCTATCTCAATGTTTTTCTATACTTACGGAATATATTTTTCATATATTATATATATTAAAAATATTATATAATTTATATATTTTAAATTTTACATGATTATTTTTTAGATATTAATTTTTTTAATTATAATTGTTATGAACGAAAATTTGTTATTGTTTTTTTTTAAAAAATTGTTAAATTATTATTATTATATATTAATATTTATTTTTTATTAAATAGAAAAAATCTGAAATCCGTCCAAGTTCTATAGGGTCGGGCTCCGGACCACCGATCATAGACCCGAAAAATAAATAGGCGGACCGATCCGACCCAAAAAATATAAGCCCGAATTAAACCCGATCCGAACCCGGCCCGACCCGGCCATTTTACACTCCTATACTCCTATATATATAACGTGCTTTCTGCGGAATTATACTGGGCTCAAAGTGAGCCCAATTTCAGTAACAAGTCCACCGCCGAGCCCACTTGGCAATGCATAACCTCTAACTCAGATAGAGGATCTTATTTTATTTTCTATTAATTATTGTTTTTTAATCTAATGAAAATTGGAAAACCAGAGGGAAGAAAACCGACGCAGGAAACTTCAGATCCAACCAGGGAAAAACTGGAAACACAGATCAGCTGAAATCTGGTGACTAATCCTTTGAGAATTTGAAGTTTTTCTTGTAGTATTTTTTGGATCTGTAGCTTTTCGTAGATTTCTCGAGAAGCTTCGGATCGACGCCGGCGAACTTAACCGGAGGGAAGATTCGGAATGGCGATGGAGGTCGGAATGATGTCGCCATCTTCGTCGACGGAGGATTCCTCGGCTGAGACGGCCAGTCATCTCTCACTCGTTTCCGCCTCTCAGCAACCGTACGTGTCCGAGCTCCTCTCCTTCACTCTCGATCGCCTCCACAAGGTCTCTCTCTCTCTATTTCTACCTCTCTCGCTGAACCAAGCGGAGGTCTGAATCTTTTCGTCTTGTGCTTCGAAGGAACCGGAGTTGCTTCGGGTGGACGGTGAGCGGATTCAGAGGCAAATGCAAGAGGTGGCGGTCGGAAATTACCGCGCGTTCATCACTGCTGCTGATGCTTTGCTTGCGATCCGACAGGAAGTGTCTTCGATCGATAAGCATCTCGAATCTCTGGTAAATTGGAATCTCCCTTGTTTCTTTTTCATTTTGATTGATAGTTCTACAGCTCTTGTGCTCTAAGCGTATAGAACTTTCCCTGCGTTTAAGTAAGAGGTGTAAGACTTCGTTTAGTTTAAAATTCGAAGCAAAGAACACAAATTTCCTGAAAATGGGGTTAGTGTTCATGAAGACTACAGTGTTCAGCTATTACAGTTAGGGTCTGAAACTAGGTAATGGAAGTTGTGGTGGATTGGGTGAAAGGAATGATTTTTGTTTCAAACTATCCCTCGTCAGATGCTGGAGGCTTTTAATGCTTGCACCCTGTGAGTAAAGCCTGGGAGTTTGAACTCTTGGTGCATATGATCTATTCAACATAGCTGAATGCTCTAGATCAGGCGAAAGCCCCAGCAGTATATGAGGAATTGGCATCGAGCTATCGAATTGAGAAAATGATTCAGATTTACTGCTGGCATCTTTTTTAATATGCATTGACTGACTTCATATGTTGTGCCTTTGGTGATGATTTACGATATCGATGCCGGACTTCTCTGCGTTCTCACCTCTTGCAGATTGGTGAGATCCCTAAACTGACGTCAGGCTGCACAGAATTTGTTGAGTCTTCTGAGAAGATTCTGGAGAAGAGGAAATTGAACCAGACTTTGTTGGCCAATCACAGCACCCTGCTTGACCTGCTCGAGATTCCTCAGCTTATGGACACGTGAGTAACTAGACCTTTACGCCAAGACGTTACTTCTCTTTAAATTCTGTTTATACTCCAATGCGGGAAAAATCGCCTTATTATTTTGTATATGAAGCGGGTTTTAAGTGTGTATGATGTTTATCCGTAGACTTTCTGTCTTATGTCAGATGTGTAAGAAATGGAAATTTCGATGAGGCTCTTGACCTGGAAGCATTTGTGTCAAAACTTGCTACCATGCACCCCAAGTGAGTTCTATATTTGTTTCCGCACCATCTTACTTTATTTTTGCCTCTGAAATGATGGAAGTAAAAGCTTCCAAAATCAAAAGCTAATTTTCTGTCATTCCCTAGGTTGTCTGTTATCCAAACACTTGCAGCAGAAGTTAGACAAACAACTCAATCGCTTCTCTCGCAGCTTCTTCAGAAACTTCGCTCAAATATACAGGTTCCATGTGAAATTCATTGCCAAATTTAGAGGCGTAGAAGATTCAACTCTACTCAACTATTTTCTTGCTGCTCTTTACTTCAGTTACCAGAATGTCTCCGCATTATTGGCTACTTACGCCGAATAGGAGTCTTCAGCGAGTATGAAATGCGATTGCAGGTGATGCTTTTGTTGTATAATCGTTGTTTGAGTTAATTATTTGTTTTACATATGTGGCTGGTTATCTGGAGGGTTTATATGTATTTGTTTTATGACAATAATATAGACTTTTCCGTGTGAGATGATTTTTGTTTTCTGCAGTTCTTAAGATGCCGAGAGGCATGGCTTACTGGGATTCTTGAGGATCTGGACCAGAGAAATGCGTACGAGTATTTAAAAGGCATGATAAACTGTCACCGAATGCATCTGTTTGATGTTGTTAACCAATATCGAGCTATATTCGCTGATGATACATCGGGGAGCGAAGAAAATTATGATGGCGGGCTTCTGTTTAGCTGGGCCATGCATCAAATAACATCACACCTGAAGACTCTGAAAATCATGCTTCCAAAGATTACTGAAGGTGGATCTCTGTCAAATATTTTGGATCAATGCATGGTTGGTTCTCTGAAAACTCATGCCTTCTCTTTCTACTATCCTTGCTTGAAACAACATGTGACACTGATTAACGTTTTTCTTTTCATCGTAACTGAACAGTATTGTGCTATGGGGCTTGGTTGGGTTGGACTAGACTTCCGGGGCTTGCTTCCTCCACTTTTTGAAGAGTAATGAATCATCTTAAGATCTTTAATCAACGATAATCTCTACTTATTCTTTTATATTATGCAGTGTTGAGCTCTCGTTGCACATGCAGGGCGGTTTTAAACTTATTCTCCAAGAACATGAATACAGCAGTTGAAAATTTCCAGGTGCGTAACTGGAAAAATGGAAAATCTGATACCTTTCTTCTGGAAGAAACACACTGTTTTTGGATTTGTGGTGAAACTTAAGCTGTATTCTTGATACTTCTTTGAATGGTTCGATCATGTTTTGCTTGCAGTTAGTCCTAGATTCGCATCGGTGGGTTTCATTACCATCTGTGGGCTTCTCGACAAGTAGTATTGGTGATGATATCAAGGAGGACGTCACTCCACCGTCATACTTGATGGAGCATCCACCTCTGGCAGTCTTCCTCAACGGTGAGCCAATCACACTTATTTACCTGCCAAACTAGTAAAGATTTCGAGGAAAAGTTGGATTTCCGTTGGGTTAAGTAAATTCCAAAATGTTCTCGAAAACCTGAGTTTCAAAATTCCACTGCATTAGATTGTGTGCTGAAGTAAAATCAAGGCTTTTAGGTTTTATATTCTTCGAAAAATTGCAAATATATATCTGCTAATGTTTCGGGTTCTTGCTATATCATAGCTGGACATAGACTCTCTTTTTAATCCTTTTTTTTTCTAACATTTCATCGGTTGTTGCGATTGATTTTTATGGATGTGACTATAGGTGTATCCGCTGCTATGAACGAACTTCGTCCATGTGCACCACTAAGTCTGAAACACGCTCTTGCGCAAGAACTGATCAAAGGACTGCAGGCTATTTCCGACTCTCTACTAAGATACAACACGACCCGAATGCTCAGGCTGAACGAATCCACCCTGTTCCTCTCACTCTGCCGAGCATTCATCGAGGTACCGTCTCCTTTTTAATATAAGAAAAATGAAGTTGGTTTAACAGTTAGAACTCGGTTGTAGTGTTGTTAGAAACAGTTCACTGATGCGATGAACACACTAAAAAAATCGAAATTGCGGAGAACTTTTATTACAAATCCACTGTCACAAAATATTTCAGTTGCAGTCCTCATAAAACAGTTACGAAATCACGAAAAGATCTATCCGCTGTGTCGGGACATAGCTATCACTCGGAAGAGAAAAAACGATAACAAGAACCCGAAAGTTTGTAGTGTCTTACGGATTTTGCCCTTTTCTCACAGGTTGTTTTCCCACACTGCGCCACATGTTTTGGCCGGTGTTACCCTGGAGGAGCCACACTCGTGATGGGTGCGAAAAACACACACGATGGGCTTAACAGGCTCTTGTCGGTATCTGCGTCCCGAGAACCGCCGTCCCGGAAACCCAATAAAGCCGTCAGCACGGAAAATAATGTGGCGGAGAACGGTGAAGCTGCGTCGGAAGAAAACGGTGTTGCCACAGAAGTCGGAGAACAACAAGTAGAAACTCAGGAGGAGCAAAGAACGGGAGAGGGGTCCTCCGTTGCAGAAGAACCTTCAGGCAACGACAACTACAATGTCTGAAATTGATTTTACTTTTGCATTTTATTACATTATTTTTGTTCGAACAATGTTACTATTATATAGTGCAAGAAACAGGGAAAAAGAAAATGCAGACGTGAATATGTGTACGAGTTCTACGAGTTGAAACACGTCATTTAAAAAATATATTTTTAAGTTTTAAATTTGATATACCAATTGATTTAAAAAATACGAAACTTTGTTTCCATTGATGTAGACGTTAGAGGATCAGCAGAACCGGGAATGATCGGTCCTGTCCCGAAATTAGGGGGTGTGGTTAACTAATTTACCGGATGAATTATATATATATATATAGGTATTTTATCATGTTATTTTTCAAAAAAAAATGACGTATATTATTAATTTTTCATATTTAAATAAAATTTAGGGATTGATACGACGAGTATCCCATTCACATTAACAAATGACATATCCCATTCAAATTCATAATTATAATATTATGACACTTTTGTATTTATATATAATTTTTGAATTTATATACAATGCGAGTATCAAACATTTTGTCGGTACCTGCAAAAAAGAAGTACCATTTAACCAAAAAAAAAAAAAAGAGTACCAAATTCCATATATGAGAAATAAGAAAATAACAAATATAAAATTTATACCGCACATAACAAGACAAAAAAGACACTATTACGGTCTAAGCGTAGGGGTGTAAAACGAGTTTTTCTAACTCGGACCGGCCCAATCCATATTGATCTTATATATTTTTTTTTAATTCAATCCGGTTTAGCTCTTTTTTTTTTTAACAAACTGAAGAATATTTGGTTCAACCTGGTTCGATCACGAATTAAAAAAAAAAGATAATAATAAAATTATTAAGAAAAATATTTAAAAAACAAAAAAAAATTGGCTCACGAATTGGATCGCGACGAACTTGGCTTGTGACGAGCTAATTCGTTCGACCAGTTTCTTTCATCGTTAAGTATACAAACGGGAGTTTTGTATAATATGACAGGACAATATTTGTATAATAATTTTTTTTACTTCAAATGTAAATTAAAAATAATAATATCCTCGAGTTGACCAAGTCAAAGACAGTACAGCTATAAATCTATCTCTGACTTTTGTCTCTCCATTCCTTCTTCTCTAGTCGACTCTTGAGCTTTACATCGACTCCACCGTCGTCGATGGAAGATTACAGCCGAAAACGATCGTACGGAAACGGAGAGATGCAGATCCAGCCGTACAACGGAGGTTCCCGCGATTTCCGCAGCTACAGCGCTTCTTACGGACAGACCCAGATGGATAACCCTAACCCTAACCCGAACGATTTCGAGATGAAGAAGGGGAAATCGTTTTCCGGGTCGAAATCGTGGAGACTATCAGACCCGGAATTCGGCCGGAAGAAACGGGTCGCGGGCTATAAGATGTATACTGCCGAAGGAAAGGTCAGAGGCTCGCTGAGGAACAGCTTCCGATGGATCAAGCGGAGGTGTTCGCAGGTCGTCGATGGTTGGCTGTGAATCTTTTTTTTTTTACTTTTGATTTTTCTTTTCTGGGTTTGATTTTGATTTGATCCTCGAGTAATTATTCTGTTCTCTGTGTCGTAATTAATCTCTCCAACAGTGTCGGCTATTCATTTTGCCAGCAATTTAAGGTTCACTTGTCGGATTTCCAGTTGTTTCTTTCCGACATAAATTACAGGAAAGATGATAACTTTTGATGGATCTGTCGCACCCATGAATCGATTTGATCGATAATCTAATTTAAGATCGAGAAATGACCTTTAGATAGACCTCTTATACCGTAACAATGATAATGTTGATTAGGGTGAACATTTTGGTTAGTAACAGAATAGTCATACCGAATCTAATCGAGTAACAGGTAACCGTAATCGAATTGAATCCGACATAAAAATCGAACGGTTTTGTTTTTTTTCGAAAAAATCGAAAGCTAAGCAAATCGATTAAAAATATAAAAAAACCAGAATTTTTTTTGAAAGAATAATTTTTTTTACAAAAAAAAAACTAAATTTGAATCGTACTGATAACAAAATAATCAAACTACACAGAATGGTTATATTTTTTATAACCGAAATAACCGGATCCGAAACCAAAACCGGGAATGACCACCCTAATATTTAGGGGTGGATGAACGGTTCAGGTTAATCGGTCACGGTTAATTCGGATTCGGTTATTTCAGATTTTAAAAATTCATAACCAAACAGTTATTTAATTTTATTCGGTTTGATTCAGTTCGGTTTGGTTTTATATACTTAAAATTATAACCAAATACAAATTGGGTTTGTTTTGACTCGATTATAATATTAAATTTTTTTAAAACATTTATAAATAGAAAAAAAATATTCAAACAAGATATAATATAAAATATCATCTTGAACATCTTAACATATGAAACAATAAAATATAAATTTATATCATAATTTGTTTTAAAAACAACAAAATAAAAGATTTTAAATAAATTTTATCATTTTCAAATATTCATATAACACAAAATTTTAAAATAATAAAATAATAATAAAATAAATGGAAAATAATAAAATAATGATTAAATTAGAAAAAATATATATATATCAATTTGTTACATACCATAGTTATAAAACAATATCATTATACTATTTTTTCTAATTAGATTTAACATATATTGTATATTAATTAGTGATACATAGGTGAATAAACAGTTATATTCGGTTTATTCGACACGGTTAATTCGGATTCGGTTTATTCGATTTACAGTTATTTCGGGTTTTGAATTTAATTTTATTTAGTTCGATTATACATCGGATCGGTCGGTTCGATTAATAACTGAAACATCCGAACCGAATCTCCACCCCTACTAATGTTAATGGTAGACTTATTGGGATCATTACACTATCTAAAATGGATAATGATGAGAGCATCCATTAAGAGCTTTGGATTTGATCTTAAATCTCATTTTTTTTTGTAATTTGTCTTCCCCTGTGATTCATTAAGAGCTTTGGATTTGATCTGATCTCCTTTTTAATGTTACGGAAAATAGATATAGATACCATGTAATGTAAATATGCTTATTAAGAAATATTTTTTTTTTAAAAAAACTTTAATTCATTTAAAACATAAGGTCTCTGACAGCTAGGGTAATATCGGAACAGACCCATCTCCGCCAGGGCTGCCCACTCTCTCCCTATCTTTTTGTGATAGCCATGGATGCATTATCGATCCAGCTAGACAAAGGAGCAGAGATGTGTCTCTTCGGATCCACGTCACCCACCTTATGTTTGCCGATGATTTATTGATATTCACACACGGGGAGCAGACATCCATCCAAACCATTCTAACAATATTTGAAGACTTTGGAAACACCTCGGGGCTAAAGGTTAATGTAACCAAATCTGCCATAGTCACTGGAGGTCTCTCAACTCAGGAGATAGACCGCAATCTGTCGGACACTTACCTAGGCATCCCACTCCTCTCTCGGAAACTCAGGACTATGCGCCCGTTTGGACTACCCGGACACTATCATTTGCTGGCCGATTACAACTTTTGACATCCGTAGTCTCAGGGATTGTTAGCTACTGGCTGAATGTATTTATGCTACCTAAGTCATGCATTCGTCGCATGAACTCCATATGCGCCTCTTTCCTCTGGAAATCCACAACTGACCAGTCAAGGGGCCACAAGGTTGGATGGGGGACTGTAACCACACCAAAGTCTGAAGGAGGGCTAGACTTGTGTGACCTGCAGACTTGGAATTCAATTTGCGGACTAAAAATGATCCGGAAACTATTCTTTCGATCTGGCTCACTGTGGTGGCGTGGGTACAAGACAAATACCTTAGAAGGAGAAACTTCTGGTCTGTCAATCCACTCCCGAGCCATCCTGGCCATTTAAGCAGCTTCTTACCTCCGAATTAAGATCGGGGACGGGTGCTCTACATCGTTCTGGTACAATAGTTGGACTCCTTTTGACAGACTTAATCGATTTCCTTGGCTCCATGGGACCAAACCAAATGGGAATTCATAAGCAGGCAAAGGTTTCTGAAGTCTACAACAACGGAACATGGTCCATACCTCACGCACGGTCCGAGAGACACTTGAATACCATCATCCTAGCCGATAGACTAGACAGACGAATCTGGGTCACAAAAGACAAAATTATGACCTCTTTTAAGGCAAGAGACATCTGAATCAGCTTCAAAGACAGGGAAAGGAACTCAAGTTGGACTAAACTAGTTTGGATCAAACACTACACACCGAAACATGCCTTCATTACCAGGTTATTCTTCCACAACAAATGCCCCACAAAGGACCGGCTACTTTCGTGGGGGATAAGTGTGGATCCTAATTGTTTCTTCTGCAATCAGGTGGCCGAATCGAGGTGGCCGAATCAAGAGAGCACTTGTTCTTCGAGTGTAGAATCTGTTGGGGGGTTTTACGTTACTCCGATCGTTTGTTATGAATCAGTAACACAAACCCCTTACTTGTGTAAACCTGTGAGGATGACAATATCTAGTGCAACGGTACAAGACAACGATTTTTTAACGTGGAAAACCCCCTCGGTGTGAGGAGTAAAAACCACGGGACCGTAGTCCACCCAAAAATCCACTATAACTGGATTACAATGTTCACACAGCAACACACTGAGATTACAGAATATTAACTCCAATATTCTAATCTCAGTAACCCGAGAGAACACTACCCATAAGTAGTAACCAGACTGCAAATCAACCCCGTGACTTCTGATTCCAGCAACAACTCAACCGTATAAATCAAAGACGAAAGGGTCAGGAACAAGTATACCGATTTGTAGCTCAACTGGAGACGAAAAACCACCGTCAAATATCCCGACGATCAGAACTGTGTTGATTCGCTCTGTAGAGAACAACTTCCGAAAAACCTCCGTCGGAGTGTAGAAACTCTTCTCACAATTTTAGATCGATCAGAAAAATATTTTTCTGATCGAATCTCTCCCCGAATACCCACAATATTTTTCCACTCTTTTTTTTCACTCTCCCTTTTTTTCCCTCTCACTTTGCTTCTGCTTCTTGCTTGCTCTTGCTTTGCGTGCTTCTCCCCCTCCGCGAAACCTCCGTTTTATAGGCAAAAATTTGCCTAACAAAACAAATTAGGTGGGGCCTATGGAGGAAAATTTTCACGCCACCTTGCGGCTGCTTTGGCTTCATCAGGCTGAAAATTCAACAATTCTCCCCCTTCCGACTATGAAGACAGAACCCGTCATCCCAGCAATCTTGTGACACACTTCAAGCTTCCCTCTAGGAAATACCTTTGTCATCATATCAGCACCATTGTCATCAGTGTGAACTTTCTCGAGCTCAACCTCCTTCGAATCAACGACATCTCGAATCCAATGATACCTCACATCAATGTGCTTCGATCTTGAATGAAACGTCTGATTCTTCCCAAGATGAATGGCGCTCTGACTGTCGCACAACAAGACATATCTATCTTGTGTAAACCCAATCTGCTCAAGAAACCTCTTCATCCACAACAACTCCTTACAAGCTTCCGTTGCGGCGATAAACTCAGCTTCAGTAGTAGAAAGTGCAACACATTTCTGCAACTTCGATTGCCATGCCACAGCTCCACCCGCAAAAGTTACCAAGTAACCCGACGTAGATTTCCGAGAATCCGTATCTCCGGCCATGTCAGAATCTGTGTAACTAATCAACAAAGGTTTATCACCTCCAAACACAATTCTCAAACCAGAAGTACCTCGAAGATATCTCATAATCCACTTCACTGCTTGCCAATGTTCTCTTCCTGGATTTGAAAGAAACCGACTGACAGTCCCAACGGCGTGAGCTATATCTGGTCTTGTACAAACCATAGCATACATCAAACTTCCCACTGCAGAGGCGTATGGAACTCGTCTCATGTCCTCCTTCTCTGAATCTGTACTCGAACTCTGTTGACTGCGCAATCTAAAGTGTGAAGCAAGAGGCGAACTCACAGCTTTAGATTTCTCCATATGGAACCGCTGAAGTACTTTCTCAATGTACTTCTCCTGTGACAGATACAACAACTTGTTACTTCTCTCTCGGACAATTCTTATCCCAAGAATCTGCTTTGCTGGTCTCAAATCCTTCATAGCAAAGAACCGACTAAGTTGTTTCTTCAACACCATTATTCTCTCTGTGCTCTCGGACAATTCTTATCCCAAGAATCTGCTTTGCTGGTCTCAAATCCTTCATAGCAAAGAACCGACTAAGTTGTTTCTTCAACACCATTATTCTCTCTGTGTTCTTGCCCACAATCAACATGTCGTCCACGTAGAGCAGTAAGATGATAAAATCATCCTCAGAAAACTTCTGCACAAACACACAATGATCTGAAGTCGTCTTCTTGTAACCATGTTCCCCCATAACTGACTCAAACTTCTTGTACCATTGCCTCGGTGCTTGCTTCAACCCGTAAATACTTTTCTTCAACCGACAAACGTAATCCTCTTTGTCCTTCTCAACAAAGCCCTCAGGTTGTACCATGTAAATCTCTTTCTTCAAATCACCATGAAGGAAAGCCGTCTTCACATCCATTTGCTCAACCTCCAAGTCAAGACTAGCTGCCAATCCCAGAACAACCCGTATGGATGACATCTTCACAACCGGTGAAAAGATTTCATCAAAATCAACTCCTTTCTTCTGACTGAAACCTTTTACAACCAGCCTAGCCTTGTATCGAGGATGCAAACTGTGTTCTTCATGCTTAATCCTGAACACCCATTTGTTAAGCAATGCTCGTTTACCCTCTGGTAACTTCACCAACTCAAACGTTTGATTCTTGTACAAAGAATCCATCTCGTCATCCATGGCCTTCAGCCATTCATCTCTGTGTTTATCTCCGAGAGCCTCATCAAAACTTTCTGGTTCTCCCCCTTCAGTAAGTAATACATACTCACTTGGGCTATACTTCGTCGATGGCCTCCGAGGTCTCTCAGATCTTCTCAACATCGGTGGGTCTTCGGTAGTTGGCGACTCAACCCGATAGTCTTCATCAACACCGTCATCAACCTGCACGGGAACATCTGTACCAGGTGTTTCTCCTTGTACCTCACCCTCAATAGTTTCCTCAATTGTTGTTCGAGGAACTATCCCTGAGTCGATCAAACCTTCAACACTCTGAGTTGGACTTTTGCATTTCTGAATATCCCGAATAGTTTGATCCTCCATGAACACAGCATCTCTACTTCTGACGAGCTTCTTCTCCACTGGGTCATAGAATCTGTATCCCATTTCTTCAAGACCGTATCCAATGAACACACATTGTCTTGACTTCACATCTAGCTTCGACCTCTCATCCTTGGGAATGTGAACAAATGCTTTGCACCCAAAGACTTTCAAATGACTGTAGGAAACATCTTTGCGAGTCCAAACCCTCTCCGGAACATCACCATGTAGCGGAGCACTAGGTGATAGGTTCAAAACATGAACCACGGTGCTCAAAGCTTCACCCCAAAAGGAATTCGGCAAACCTGACTGAGAAATCAGACAGCGAACTCTCTCCATGATCGTCCTGTTCATCCTTTCCGCCAACCCATTCAACTGTGGTGTCTTCAGTGGTGTCTTCTCATGCCTAATGCCTTGTTCACGACAATAAGCATCAAACGGTCCGGAGTATTCACCTCCATTGTCACTTCGGATACACTTCAACTTCTTCCCAGTCTGTCTCTCCACCAAGACTTGAAACTGCTTGAAGATACCCAGAACTTGATCCTTAGTCCTCATCGTATACGCCCACAGTTTCCTCGAATGATCATCGATAAATGTGACGAAATATGAGGCACCACCCATTGATCTCGTCTTCAATGGACCACACACATCTGAGTGTACCAAATCGAGAATCTCTGATTTTCTCGAAGGTATAGAAGACTTAAACACAACTCTATTTTGTTTTCCTGCAAAACAATGATCACATTTCTTTAAATGTAATCCTGAGACTCCTTGTAGAATCTCCTTCTTTGCCAGCACAGACATTCTTTTCTCACTCATGTGTACGAGTCTTTTGTGCCATAACTTAATAGCATCTTCACTCTCTAAGGCATTAATGATATCCTTAGAAAGCTTAGCATACATCAAGTAAAGCGACGAAGACTTCGTACCTCGAGCCACAACCATGGAACCTCTCGTAAGTTTCCATTGACCTCCACTGAATGTACTGCAGAAACCTTCATCATCAAGTCTTCCCGCTGAGATCAAGTTCAGACGAACATCTGGAACATGCTTAACATCTTTAAGCATAAGTCTAGTACCAAGACTAGTCTCCAAGCAAACATCTCCAATGCCAACGACTTGAGCCGAACCATCATTGCCCATTTTGACAGAACCAAAGTTACCCGGAGTATAGGTAGCAAAGAATTCACGTCGTGATGTAGCATGAATGGAAGCTCCACTGTCAATCACCCAACTGGTCTCATGGCACGTGAGATTGATCATATCACCATCGACCATGATCAGGAACTCTTGCCTTGCAACTGCAACTCGTTCCTCGTTGTCCTCCTGTTTGTTTCCTTTCTTGTTGTCCTTCTTCAATTTCCAGCAATCTTTCTTGATATGCCCTTTCTTGTGGCAGTAATGACATTCCACATTTGCAAATTTGTTGGATTTGCTCCTGCTCCGATTTTTCTCCTTCGGATTCCGATTCTGACTCCTCCCCCTCGATTCAGATACCAGAATATCAGAACTCGAGGAAGCTCCTTGAGACTGTCTCCGTGTCTCTTCATTTAGAATACTGTTCTTTGCGTATTCCATCGAGATGACACCGTCTTGAGCTGAGTTTGACAATGACATCCTGAATGTCTCCCACGAATCCGGAAGTGTGCTGAGAAGTCACAAACTTTGAATTTCATCTTCGAAGGTGATCCCCATATCAGATAACTGGTTCAACAGACCTTGAAACACGTTCAGGTGATCTGTCACCGGACTTCCTTCGGCATACTTTAAATCAACCAACTTCTTGATGAAGTACAACTTGCGATTCCCAGTGTTTCGCGCATACAACTGCTCTAGCTTGCTCCACAAAGATCGAGCATTAGTCTCACCAGCCACATGGTTCAAAACATTGTCATCCACCCATTGTTGTATCAATGCACAAACCTGTCGATGCAGCAATGTCCATTGCTCATCAGTTTTGCCTTCGGGTTTTTCTTCAACAATCAACGGTAGATGATACTCCTTCACGTATAGCAGATCCTCCATCTTGCCTTTCCACACGTGATAGTTGGTACCGTTCAAACTCACCATCCGACTAGTATTTGCCTCCATCGTTTACACAAGTGCACCGCACACCCAAGGTGCTCTGATACCACTTGTTGGGGGGTTTTACGTTACTCCGATCGTTTGTTATGAATCAGTAACACAAACCCCTTACTTGTGTAAACCTGTGAGGATGACAATATCTAGTGCAACGGTACAAGACAACGATTAACGTAGAAAACCCCCTCGGTGTGAGGAGTAAAAACCACGGGACCGTAGTCCACCCAAAAATCCAGTATAACTGGATTACAATGTTCACACAGCAACACACTGAGATTACAGAATATTAACTCCAATATTCTAATCTCAGTAACCCGAGAGAACACTACCCATAAGTAGTAACCAGACTGCAAATCAACCCCGTGACTTCTGATTCCAGCAACAACTCAACCGTATAAATCAAAGACGAAAGGGTCAGGAACAAGTATACCGATTTGCAGCTCAACTGGAGACGAAAAACCACCGTCAAATATCCCGACGATCAGAACTGTGTTGATTCGGTCTGTAGAGAACAACTTCCGAAAAACCTCCGTCGGAGTGTAGAAACTCTTCTCACAATTTTAGATCGATCAGAAAAATATTTTTCTGATCGAATCTCTCCCCGAATACCCACAATATTTTTCCACTCTTTTTTTTCACTCTCCCTTTTTTTCCCTCTCACTTTGCTTCTGCTTCTTGCTTGCTCTTGCTTTGCGTGCTTCTCCCCCTCCGCGAAACCTCCGTTTTATAGGCAAAAATTTGCCTAACAAAACAAATCAGGTGGGGCCTATGGAGGAAAATTTTCACGCCACCTTGCGGCTGCTTTGGCTTCATCAGGCGGAAAATTCAACAGAATCACCCGCTCCATCTTCCTGCTCATCTTTCAGAAATTAGGGTTTCGCAGTCTCCCTTTCTCCTGGTTTCCGCTGATCGACCGACTTTCCAGGCCTTGGAGCTCAGCACCGACGAAATGGGCAGCAGTCTTGCTCCTGCAAATCATCATCTACATCATCTGGAAAGAACGGAATTCCAGATTACATACTCACCGCTTCCTTCCCGAAGCAAATCTGCTGAAGGAAATGGATACTTCACTGCGGAACAAACTCGCAGCGGTCAGACATACAAACCCCTCTCCGATTTCTTCGATTCTCTGCAGTTGGTTTCGAAACTCCCACAGTTAGCCCTAACTCACACTTTAGCTTGCCTACTTGATTCGAACAGGAAAGAACACACTTTATGTTTCCCACTTTGTACAGCTCAGAATAAAAATTACTTCCTCCGTTTCAAAATATTTGTAGTTTTAGATTATTATCCATGTTTCAAAATATTTGTCATTTTATATTTCCAATACATTTTTTTTAAATAATTTCCAATTTTATCCTTACCAAATTCCAATATATTATTAATGATAATATTGTTTTTATTATTAAATAAAGGGTATATATGATTTTTATTTTCATTTCTTAAAAAATGTGAAATAATTTAAAACAACAAACATTTTGAAACGGAGGGAGTAATATACAACCTTATAACAAAAAAAACTCCCACTTTTCATAGAAACTGTCACCGTATGTATGGTGACGTGGCTAATCGAAAAAACAACATATGTCGTAAAAAAGTTGACACGTCAGCAAAAAAGAGAAAAAATATACAAAAACACACGCATAAAAATATACATACTTATCTATACATATAAACATATACACACACATACACATTTATATACATATATACACTTGTACACATACATATACACCAAATACCGTATAAACATTTAATACACATACACACATATATATTCGTAGGTACACATACTTATCGTATACATATGTAATGCTTACACATATATATCATTACATTTTCACAATGGTCAAATCTTAATCGGTCAAATCGATTGGCTTTAGCAGTCAGATTAACAAATCACATTTTCACAGAATTTTATGTTTGAGGAGAAAACAAAATGTTAAGAGTAAGTCATAAAATGTTCACTTAATCAAAAGATGCAATGTATATAAATGGTAATTTTATAAGGTAATTATGTCGAATAATATGGAAAAAAAATATGGGAAGAAAGAGGGGGAATGGACCCCACAAAGGAAAAAAAATTCCTTTTTAAACTTGTGAATGAAAAACAAATAAAAAAAAAACAATGATAATGATTTTCTTTTTTGTTAACCAGAACATCTAGATCAAGGAGGTATATACTAATTTCGGAGACGAGAGTCAACTATTTTAGAATATATATTCTCTTCCCAAATTCGAGATTCGAATTCGTGTTGAAATATACGTTTTGCAATTCCATTTCACCGGTTGAATTATCCAAATTTGATTACAATGGTAACGATTTCTTTTACCACCACCACTCCTTTGACAAAGATTTTTCATAACAATGATTCAGTTCCACCCACCAAACACTAAAAGTCCTCGCCTTTCCTCGTCCGGAAATTTGGACAGACCCCCTTTCATTCCGCAGGTTTAGGACAAAACAAGGGAGAGAGGTTTTTTGTTCATCGAAACTCAAAAAGAGTTGCATACAAACATACCCACCTCACCTCTGTCTCTCAGTTCAGCCCAAGCAAAAGAGCTAACAATAACCCCTCTACTCTACAGCTGCTGCAAGTCCCAAGCTTTTGCTTATTTGGTTCAATGGTGCGAAAGGTTTCAACCCGAAAAGACACGTCGGGTACTACTGCTACTGCCCCGCGATCTCATCGAGCCTTCTGGTGTTCTGGCTATCCTCCGAGTTTTCCGTCTTCCAGCTTTCATGAGGAGCAACTTGTTTGTGTGAAGGAGTATATTGCTGCCAACAGAAAAGGTTTAAATTTGAAAAAAAAACGGTCACAACGTCGATTTCTGATTCAATAGATATCTGTCAGAAGACACGACACACGATGAAACCGAACTGTTTCCAAATGTCTTCAGGACATGAAAAACAAGAAAGGGGGCTACGAAGTGTTCCTTCTTTGCTGTTACCAGAACTAATGACCAAAGACCAGAAGATGAGAGACAGAATTTCTACAGATTCTTGGCCATGATTTTCCAGGAAAGCAAGTTGGAAAGGTAAAGCAGGCAAAGGATTACGCATACAAGTCTGCATACCTCCATCTTCTCCAGGAGTTCTTCGGCTGTCGGGGCGGAAAGAACGATATCACGAGCACCGGGCTCGATAAAACCTTCTTCAACACCGGTGTCAAATAACGCAAGCAAACTGTTGTAGTACCCGTCAACGTTCAAAAGACCGACCTGCAGAGAGGACAACGCAGATTTTCCCGAATCATATTTCCTTCCGCAAACTTCACTTTGGCGAAAAAGAACGGCGCGAAGAATAATACCGTCTTCTTATGGATACCGAGTTGTGCCCATGTTATCATCTCCAGCAGTTCCTCCATAGTTCCATAACCTCCTGGATCAAAGAAGCAACGATCCTTAAGAACTAGAAACCGCAAGGATTTCGGCATTCACATAGTTACCGGGAAGTGCGATGAATGCTTCAGCTTCTCGGGCCATCGAAGCCTTGCGCTCGTGCATGTCTGCTACAACTCTTACTTCTCCAACAGTCTCACCTGATATCTAATGAAAACCCGAGTCATAAGTGTCGGTACCATATCCATTTAGAATCGGATGTTTTTACTGGGAATCCAACTAGATCAAGAACCTTCAAAGACAGTGTCTTAAACTCCTAAGAGGTTTCATCCGTTTTCCTATATCAGCACAAGCCACAGTCAAACATGAAATGAAGGACCAGCCCAGTTCCAGTCCAAAACACATCTATCAAAAGTCACTTCAAGTTCCAGCTAAGATTCTGTCTCAGTGGGCCAGGAAAAGTTAGAAAAAATGCCAACTTTTCCAAGAAAACATTCAGGATTTTCACAGAAAATTCATGGAGGATACATACCTCAACAGGCATTAGAGCTTTTGGAATGACCCTGCGTTTATATACATTACGCAATATCTTAAATTGAAGCTTTAAATCAAACGTAAAACGTATCTCTTCCACAATCCAGACTTGATTGTCGAATGAAGGGATGTATGTGAAAGACGAGGTCTTTGAGGCTGTGAAAACTGACCCGAGAACATGGCAACCGCCTTCATGGACTCGCCGTGATATCAGACCCATCAGACCGACGCTTCCTCCGCCGTAGACCAGGTCTATCTTCCTCTTCACCTGCAAGGACAATCCCACCACCAAAGAGACAATGATAACAACATCAGAAACGGAACACAACCCCAGTCCAATACCATGGGATGGCATAAGAAGAGCGATGGACATGTTTGCATCCAGAAATTCATCTATAAATCAGGGTTTTCAGAGAAAAATTGCAGAAATTTTGGCACTTTTTATACCGCAACATTGAATTCAAAGAGTGGGAAACAAGGAAAAAGGGCAAATGGCATAACTTAATGCCACGAAATCAAAACAGTTTTGCCCCAGAAACTTGCAACATAAACGATAACATGAAATAACATAAAACCCACGTCTCAAGATCATGCGGACGAATAAGCAAACCTAAAAACTTTGCATTCAGATTTACCAAATTCAGAAAAGTTCGTATCTTTAGTAGCAGAAAAGAAAAAAGTTTGAATCTTTATCACAAAAAAAAAAAAGGAGAGAGAGAGCAGAGAAATGGAAAACCGAACCAGTTCATTCCCAAGTTCAATGGCAGCCTGACTGAAAACTTCTCTCCGACCAGAGTGGCTTCCACAAAAAACACAGATTTTTTTGAATCTGGTTCTCTGCGTTTCCTCCATTAATGGTAATCTCTACAAATGCCCACAATTTCCAAAACCTATTAAACAAAAAAAAAATCGCAAAAAAAAAAGAGCAGAGGGAAACCCAGAGGCCAGAACGAAAGAAACCAGGCAAAAAGACGAAGCCTTTGATGACGATTATATAATATACCGAAACAAACTCCCCCAAAATATATGGAAATAAATGGCCCAAAATAATTTGAAATGCCAAAAAGGGAGAGGAAAAAATTCAGTGTAAAAGAGGAAAAATCCAATCTGGGCTGCAACTTGGAAGAATAGAAACTGTATTACAAGGCTTCTGTGAAAAATGTGTATACATACATGTACACACACATGTGTGTATATATACACATATGGGTCTACATACGTGCATTTGTATGTGCCCACGTAAAAGAAGAATTTAAAAAATACACAGGAAGCGCACATGAGCCACCATGGCTCCTTCCTTCCCCTCGTCCGACGCCTATCTGTCGGGTTTCAATTTTTTGAAAATTAAAACACATGGAAAAAAAAATAAATCTCATCTTGGTTTCACAACTCCTTTTTTTTTTCTCACGGAAATTAATAGATTAAATTAATAAGTTGAAGGACAATTCTTCGCTACAATTCGAGAAAGCCACTCAAGACAAGAGTTTGAATATAATTCAAAAAGAGATTTACGATTCAATGCAAATTTCGCAATCGCATCAGTCGGAGAATTACTAGTCCTTTGTATATGAGCCAAACTGATACTCGGAAACCTCTCCCAAAACACTTCAATTTCTTGAGTATATATCTGTCAACTTAACGACTTCTTGTTGTTATTGATCTCTTCTACAACTTCTTTCGCATCCATCTCCAATCGCATAGACCTACAACCTCTTTGTAACATGCATTTCATCGCCCATAATAGTCCGGAAAATTCTACCTCCGTAGGGGATTCAGGAGCCCGTATTGCTCGGGCACCCCAACAAATCACTTTACCCTCATGATCTCTTAGTAACCATCCCATACCACAAAAATCATCTTGAGCTTTCCACGATCCATCCACATTACATTTCACCATAGCCATCGGGGGATTTATCCACGGGATAATTTCCCGACTCGTAAGATTTATTTGTGTTTCATTACACTCTGTGGTAGCTCGCCACTCCGCATAGTCTTCGTTAATTTTTGCCACTGTCTCAAATGGTCGATATTCCTTTTGATTAAAAATATGTGCGTTGCGGTTCTTCCATATCCGCCAGAGATACCAAGGAAATATTAAAAAATTACGAACTTCACGTTATGTACCTTTTCTTAGAGAGAAAAGCCAGTCTATGTTGGTATAAATCGAACTAAACGGAAAACCATCATCATTTCCAAAAGAAATTCTCATCTGCCAGACTTGTTTAGCAATAGGACACTCAAATAAAACATGATTTATGGTTTTCTCGGCACAGTTACATATCACACAATGTGATTCTTTTGTAATCAATCGCGTCATCAAACGTGATTGCACGGATAGACATCCATGGAGAGTCATCTACAGGAAGACCTTAATTTTGGTCGGTATAGATAACTTCCATACTTTTGACAAAATATCGTTGAAGCTAGGTTTCACAACTCCGAGAAGAATATAGACGGTGAACCATTAAATAGCTAATTCACATTACAAAACTAAATTAAAGTAATTGTTGGGGTTTTAAGGAAAGATAAAAGAATCCTACTTTGGTTTCCAATGCCAATTTAATTTTGTTTCCTTAAGTCAAAGGATAATATAGAAATGTCATGGATTCCATAGGTCTATTCTATAGGGGTGTAAAATGGGCGGGTCGGGCCGGGTTCGGGCCGGGCTTAGTTCGGGCTTTGAATTTTTCGGGTCGGGCCGGCCTGCCCATTTATTTTCCGGGCCTATGATCGATGGCCCGGAGCCCGGCCCTATAGGGCTTCGGGCGGGTTCGGGCCGGGTTTCGGGTTTTTCTATTTAATAAATAATAATAATAAATAAATAACTAAATAAATAATAATTATTATTTAACAATTTTTATAAAAACAATATCAAAATTTTGGTGCATATCAATTACAATTAAAAAATTAAAATATAAAAAATAATTATGTAAAATTTAAATTATATAAATTATATAATATTTTTAATATATGTAATATACGAAAAATATATTCGATACAATAAAAAGTATAGAAAAATATTGAGATATAATTTTAAAATAAAAATTGATAAAAAGTATAGAAAAATATTGAGATAGAATTTAAAAATCAAAATTAAACTTATAAAATATATATATACATATATATATATATATAAATTAAACCAAAATCTATTAAATTGTTTAATAATATATATAATATAAGTTTAATATATATTAATTAAATTACTTTGAAATATAAATATATATCTAAATATAAAACAAACAAATAAAAGTTTTTATATAATGTTATGTGGTATTAAATCTCAAATGAAAGTAAAAATCTATTAATATAATATTTTTTCGGGCTAAATGGGTGGGCCGGACGGGTTTCGGGCCGGACTCGTTTTGGCCCTAACTTTTTTCGGGTCGGGCTGGCCCGCCCATTTATTTATCGGGCTTATATTATTAGGCCCAAGCCCTTAATTTTTCGGGCGGGTTTCGGACCGGGCTTCGGGCTCCGGGTTGTTTTGACACCCCTACTATTCTAAATTCTAGTGGGCTCATGTATTTTTTTTATTAGTATCTATCCATGATGATGATGGTGATGGTCTTGGTATTTTGATTTTTCTTCTTAAAATCTAATTTATGGATAGCATATGCGAATTTATGGATATGTGCAATTTATTATGAAAAAAAAGAGCTTTTTGTTTTCTTCCGAATTTTTTTTATGAGGATCAATCAAAGCCCTTTTGAAATTCAAGCATAAGGGCATTTATCAGTGTTTGTGTGTATATATTAAAGATTTGATTGACATTCTTGTCGATTATTTAAATTAAAAGTAACATGGATAAGAAGACACTTTGATTGCAAAATCCTTTAATTATTACATCAGGAATTAAATAAAATTATTTGAATGATTATGCATAAGAAAGAAAATAAAATATTTGGATGGTGACGTATGCAGGTAAAATAAAAAAAAATTAAAAAAAAAAACTTTGGCTTTTATTTTCCAACACACAAGTAAAGTTATGCTCCCAACATGTCTGGACAAATTAATGACCATGTACTTGCATTCCAACTTGAACTCGCACCACCATTTATTGTAACACGATATTGTCATATATCTAATTAATTAAGATATCTTAATGCTTTTATTTTTAAAGCATGTTGTAATTAAAATTATACATATTTATCACAAAAACATCCAGATATTAAATCATTCGTCTCTATCTAATATTTGTATGGCGAATTAGATTAAACAATTGATTTAAGTTTAAAATTACATATATTCATGAAAATCTCGAGATAAAACACATATGATATCATTTTTTATTAGATTATTAGAGTTTTCAGCATGTCATATTTTCAACTTCAGTTTTTTTTTTTCTATTACAATTAGTTGTTTCCATTGATTATCATATATTATATCATATTTGATTTTATTTCCGATTCGCTCATACACCACAACTGAGAAAATGCACAGCATGTTGATCCCTTTTTTTTTTTTTATTAGAGAATAAAACAGATTGATGCATTGTCACATTATTTTATTTAATGCTCTTATATTTAATAATATATAATATATTGTAGAGTACTAGTTTGAAATTATCCATCCGAAATTTTTAATATTGGGCCGAATAGAGAAGCCCAAAAGGCCCACCAGATAAAAACATTGCTTACGTGTCCATAACGTTTTAACAGACAAAACTGCCACTCGCAGTTTTTTACTATAATTAAATTAAAAGGTCATTAAACATAACCCCTGTGAATTTTTTTTTTTAAAATCCCCTCAATTCACAGGCAGGACACATACATACATACATACATATATATATATATATATATGTATGTATATTAAAAAAAAACTCGGATTTCTAATTTAAACTCCACAATAAATAATCTCTCCCCCTTTTCCCTCATTTGCACAGAAAAATTTTCTTTCCGAGATTTTCTGTGTCCTCTGTTGAGGAGCAGAGAGATGGCCTCTGTGATGTCCTTATTCACCGGTCTCTGCGGCTTCCGGAAAAAACCTCCGGCACCGGAAAAAGAATCCGGAGAACGATCATTCTCGCCGGAGAAGGAGACGGTCAATACGAAAACCAATGGCTTGCAGCCAGAGGAACCACCAAAGATGCGCCATTCAAATGCGTCGGAGATCGATCCCGACGCGGCGAATCTCGAGCTCCCTTTGCCTCCTGCGAGGAAAGCGTTGCGAGAAACGAATTCGTTCAACAACAAGGCGATGAAATCGGCGCCGAGGAAGAAACTGAGCGCGAGCCTGTCGATTCAAATCACCAAAGCCATGTCGATGAGCGTGAGGCGGGACGGGGAGGCCGAGAAGTCGTCGAGGAAGAAGAAATCGAAGGCCGAGAACTCGATTCTCGTCCGTCCCATCATATTGGGAGAGAAATGTAGGGGTTTTGATGACGACAGTGACGAAGATTCCGCCCTAAGGATGCAGAGGAACAGAACGTATCACCCGAGATCGATGAGTTCGATAACTCTTTCGAGAACTAACTCGAGGATCGATCCGAACGCGATTCCGGAGAAAGAAATACCGATAGATTCGGCCAGAAACGAAAGGAAAGAAAGGGAAACGGAATGAAAAACAGACTCGATGTCGTGATATCGGCATGAAGATGAGAGCGAAAACGTTTGGATTCTGCATGAAAGAAGCAAAATTAGGATCATTTCCTCGGCTGCAGAAAACAAGGGTACGATTCGGGGCCGAGGACATTTCCTACGGTTCAAAGGCGTGCCGACGCACAAGAATAACGAAATGGATTCTCCGTTTGTTTATCGGTAAAGTCGGATGTTTTCAGAGATAAACTTGTGTTCATGAGAATTCGGTCTTGGTAACACTTTTCGATCTTCCTCTTGATAAATTTTATACCGCCGTGGAAGCTATATTCACGATCTCAGGGATCTATAATGAACGAGAGGGAATAAAGTTTCAGGTCCGAAGTGATGAAACTGGATAGATTTGGAATCGGTTTTCGGGTATCGGAAATGTGCAAACGATGGATTGTTAGAGTTCATCATTCGCTAAAACCTTTAAAAAATCATCAATCGATCATTGAGTTCACTTGTCACCAGCATGAGCCTTATGTTTCAAATCGTTACCAAATCTTCATGAGCCATACAAATACCAAAACATATAAGCGGGATAGCTCCGAATCGGTAAGGGTGGATGTGGGTCGGGTAACCAAATTGTTCGACGTACTCGACCTCTATCCCCCCGGTTTTCTCAGCCAGAGAACTCGATCTCGATTTCATGAGATCAGTTACCCGAGTTCCACGTACTGCGGGATGCGGGGAGAACTCGTATAACTACGGGTTACCCTGTCAACCGACGAGGGCAAGTGTAAATGTGCGAGGGAACAAACCGATACGACAGAGAGAAGAAAGAGAGAGCGGTGGATAGAAGAAAGAGATATGTATCCGATGAATGTCTAAGCAACGGAGGCGATGTATGAGCCTTGGGCAAGGTAAGGTCGAACCCGAAACTCTAATCCTCGAAACCCTAGTTCTCGAAATCAATTTTGAAAACACCTAATCCCTAGATGGAAGTCAGAACCCTTGTCCCCTCTCGCCCTAGGCTCTCGTCGGCGATGCCTTCTCCCCTATCCTCGGGTGACCCACGGTTCGGATAATCACTGGACATAAGCCGAGCTTGAATCTGAAGATCAGGATTTCCACGTTGGCTCAAGTTCCCAGATTGTAGGTGCCCACGAGACAGATACCTACCGAGCTCTTGGGTTCGGATACCCGCACCCACCCGTACAAATCGATAACTTCACCTGAATGTACACAACTGCAATCTGATTCTGTTCATGCATAGTGTCAACATCAGTTCTGTGTTCGGTTTGGTCTCTTGGCTTGATTCTCTTTATCCGGTCTGGCTATATACCGAACGCCGAAGACGTAACCGAAGAATCCAACTCATGTTCTCTGCCTGGACGAACACAAATTCTATATTCATGCCTTCACGTCAGCATTGGGTAAGCCACCAGATATAAAAACCGGTTTAGATTGCATATCGGGTCGGCTTGGTTAAATTCGGGTCTGTTCGATGATAAGCCGGCAAAAACCAAAACCAGGTCAGGGGAAAAATATGACTCAGTTTGCTCGGTTTTCTGTCACCCAAAAACAAGATTCACACTCTCCTGCAAGAACCAACTAATTCACCACAACCAAAAATTTTGATAGTTAACTTAAAACCGATCAAAAGCTTGACATTGCTTGGAGCTAAGAGACACAGCATCGTTTCCAAGCACATGTAACCCGTACCAAGAACAGAAATTTAGGAGGAACCCTACTGGAACTATCAATCCCGGGTTAAAACTGTTACGAGTATCGAGTTATCTGTATGTATTTAAGGTTTACCACGATGATGTTTCCTCCGAACATGTTGGAAAAGTCGGAAACTAAGCTCATCCACGTGAATCCACGAAGCAAAAACCTGGGAAAAGAGCGATCATCAAGCAGCTGGAACCTTCTTCCCATCTTCGATAAAGAAAATGGACGACTCATGTACCTGGAGATGGGAAATGAAACAATCAAGAATATTTAGGACTGATCTCAACAAGACAAGCTATGATATTATTTCTAACAAATGAGAAACACATGACGACACAAGTAAGCGAAAACGAAGTCGGAGAAAGAACATGATTTACATCGGGCCAGGTGTCTGTGATGCATTCAACGATATCGTATATTATATCTCCTTGAACATCAATTTGCTCCTTATCAGTTGGCCCCTGAAGATTGGGAAACAGAACAAAGCAATGTCATATATGTATGGCTTCGGATATATTGATGAGCTATGTTAATCAATACCCTGACATGATGCAAACCCGATACCATATCCGAGGCATGGCTCAGAGTTGTATAAATATGACTTAGACCATTTTCCCGTGAACCGTATTATATTTTGCACGTAGAAAACCAAAAGACAAAACCCTAAAGTGGACGGGACAGAAATCATTGTTTACAGATACAATTAGCCACTACAACTGTGGCAAAACAATGGATTTGCCTAAAACTTTCATGCCGAGATGAAGACAGGCTGTTATTTATCACACGTTTCAGCAAGATAACACCTAAAACCCGACACCTCTATTTGTCTTAAGCATAGAGCCCTATTAATCAATGATCAAAATCACATACCTTAACAACTGATGCTCCAGTGGCAAACTTCTTCCCGAGCTTTTTAGAGGCATCGCTGAGTTTAATACCTGAGGCGATATTTCGGTATAGAAAAATTAGATCTATTCCAGAGTGAAGGTGGAAACTAAAGATAGCTGGTGCGACTGACGTGCTAGACAGAGGCAAACAACTCACCGAATAGGTCCAGTCCTTTGACAATGGTGATACACTTACGCTTGTTGCGGACAACCTTTTCTATAATAACTTCTTGCTTGTCCTATTCATGATACATAACAACAAGAAAATCGAACAATAGGACAGTCACGTATGCGTAAAAGACACATGAAAAAACAAACAAAATCGAAAATTTATTAGCATCAATGGATGCCTAAGCATATTCTTTCTTGCTGTGTGAGTTTCAATGTAAAACTTGGCAATACGTTTGACAAACGAGTAAGTGAGAAACATTAATACTTTCTTCTTTATTTTTCCCCCGGGAAGGCGTTTCACTTCCTCTGGTTTGGATGTTTGCCCTGTAACATGGAAAACCCAGCAAATCTTTAACTTAAAATAGATAATCTCTCCTCATAAGCATCAACAACAACCAATCGCTCTAGAAACTGTCGATGCGAATTCGTATTTAGCAGTTACATGATAGTTTCCCAAACATGATCCTCAAGTTAATTACAGCCATTAGGCAATTCACAGATCGAGGAAGATAATTTTACATGCAATTTTGTATACAATCACTCTCTCACACAGATTGAGAATATAATCGTAGTTGTAAACTTTACACATGATAATTATACTTGAACATACGCATGGAGACACGATTCATGCGAGTATAACTGCATGGCACTTGCACATTCAAGTTAGGTAACAAACTGACCTGAAGAAGGGGCTCCATCAGCACCACCGGAAGAGATTCCAACAGACTGGAGTTGATCGGAAACCTTATCAGCTGCCTTATCGTTACATTCTGAGCATGAAAACATCCTCGAACAGGTAAATTAAAGCCGGTGAAATCAAACAAAATCATAGCACAGAAAAAATAGTGAGAAAAAGGGTGGTGAAACCGACCCAACAACTCAAGGAAGCATATGTTCCACATAACATCAGTGACAATCCCGTGCTAAAAAAACCGATCATACACTACAAAAGCTTCCATATTCTCTTAAGGGAACAGATTTATGGAGGATAATTGATTGGATTTCAACTGTAAGACCCTAAAATTGTCCTCTTTACCAGCTCCCTGTTGAATATATTTACAGGATTTTCACCAAAATGATCACACCCATAAGTACATACATTCACTACTATAATCACACACATGATTTGATGTGAGTTTCGAATGGTATGGATTTCTAAGTTCTTCCTCGAAGAGAATGTCTTAGCGATAAAGTAAAAATCCAATTCCCTCTGGAACCAAATCTTGATTTTAGCGAAATAATCACTAAAAACATGTAGAACAAGAACACTAACAAACCCAGCTGGAACGGGTCCTGCAAAATCTAAATCAGCCTAGCTGATCGAAATCTCAGGATTAGGGTTTGATCATTTTTCCTACCTTTAAGAAGATCTGGGTAGAGGTCGGGAGCGTTTTTGATGAGCCAAGGCTTACATTTCTCGAAATCGGGACAGAATTCGCAGTATTCGGCGGGAAGAGAGCATACGCCGCAGTACAAAACTTTCACGGGCAGAGGTTTCTCTTCCATAGATGATTTCTTTCACTCGGAATGTGAAATTCGATTCTTCCTCTTAATACGAACGAAGAAACGACGTTCTCCGGCAGAATTTATTCCCACTTCGATTCTTTGATTCTGCAGCCCATGAAGGGGAAGGGAACCGGAGGGAGCTGGAAATTTTTGATGGAAAAGATGATGAGAATTGGGCCTGAAATTTTTCTTGGGATCCAAACAGAGAACCCATCTTTTATGCATATTAGGGCTCGACTCATTTCACATATACTTGAATTTTGGGGCTATACAAAGTTATACTCAACTATTTAAAAATAATGTATAAAAAAGTGTGTATATATACTCAGATTCCGAATTTGAAACCACGTAGCCAAATTTAATTTCAAATCTGTAATCACTAAAAATTTTATTAAGTTTCAATATCCAAATTTTCAGAGATAGGTTATTTGAATACTTCAAATTTTAAGATAAGCATTAGATCCAATTACATCTCTATTGTATAGTGCATATAATCCGACTTATCTTTCTTAGCGATTAAGTTTTTTTAAACTCCAATAGGAGATTTGAATAAAATTTTCTACTTATAGATAGATATGTAATAGCTAAATTACCCAATATATATATATATTATAATTTAAAAATTAAGGCCAGCCAATTAAAATCGAATGAAAAGTGCCTGAAAATTCCATGAGACAAGACAGTAGAAAATCTGACAAAATTCCAACTGACTTTGTCTGGACTTTCATTGATGACACCAAGATGCCACGTGCACTTTCGTCTGTTTAATCACTGCCTCTTTCTTTAATTATTGATAATAGCTTATCAAGTATCGTTCACTGCGAGTAATATTTGGTTTATTTATTTATTGTTAATAGAAATGCACCCAACCAACTAATTATATTCTCGTGTAAAATTAATTTTACCCGTGTTATAATTACAACTATTGTATAGTTCTAATAGTTCCCACGATTTGATTTTGTGAAATTAAGGATGAACTCTGGTCGACACCATGTAATGTAAAGTTGTGTTAAGCATACAATCGTAATTATATAAAAACCTCTGGTTAATTAGTTTTTAACTTAAACTAATACTAAAATCCTGTCGATTCTCATGTTGCAATAGTTTTATTAGTATTCCATAATATTACAACAGATCAGAATAATCCCAAAATAAAACAAAAAGAGTAGGAAATTCTAGAAGCAATGAATTCCTTCCGCTTTGGAAATTTTACTAAAATATTCGATAATTAAATAATATCGTTTGGATCATTTATCCGGAGAAAAAAATAATTATAAAACGACCCCAAATTTAATCAAATCTTGAAATTCACTTCCCCTAGTCCTAGATCAGAGGCGCCAATTCCAGACCTTCACCCTGAGATGGACCTTGCACGCGGATTTCCCAGAAGTTAAAGCAATGGTTGGAATTTTACCTTTGGGTATCGTTCCTTGGAATCCTTCACACGAGACCTTGATCTCCAAGCCTTTGCTCTTCAGCTTCCCCATCTGCATCTTCACCGTCGTTTTCATCCCGATCATTATCCCCACGCGCGGGCGCGTCAGATCTGACTTCAGCTCACGCGCCTCATCCGGAAACAGCTCACGCGCCTCCGTCGACTCCGCGATCACCGATCGTAACGTCGTCGTGTTCCCGTTGTCGCTGAACAACGCCGGAGTGGTGCCGTTCCCGAGTAGGACTCCAGATTTGGCGGCGAAGACCTCGACGGTGAAGGGATCGTAGGAGAAGGTCAGGAGCTGATTGGGATTCTCGGTGATTAATGTGAAGTTGAAGAGCGAGGAGAGGTGTGAGACGGAGGAATCGGCGGCGGTAGTTAGGTTAACGCGGCCGATTTGGAGCAACGGGACGGAGAACGACGGCGGACGCGGGTGGTAGATCACGTACAGAGCTGTGCCGGCGATTGCAGCAATGAGAGCGAGGATCAGTATGACGAGGATCGACCAGAAGCAGCAGCAGCAGCATACGCGGCGGCAGCTCGGCCGTGATCGGTGGCGTTGACGGCGAGTGTACGGTTGCGGACGGTACACCGGACGATTCGCCGGATTGTACACTTGAGCTTTCTGGTTACCCACGCTGGCAGCCGTTCCGTTTCCGTTGACTGTCTTCAGCATCGGTGCAGTGGCGTCGCCGTCGGTGGGAATGCCGTTGACGGCGGGGGCGGGCGGGTTTTAAG